TTCTTGGCATCTCCCGAGCAGAATTCAGATGTAGATTAGAGTCTCGAGCAGTTTTCTCAGAACTCCCAAGAAATTTGATTTACCTTCACCCCGTCTTCCTTTATCTCGATCGCCGTCCATATAAACCGTCTCCGATCACACCAAAACTTTCATTTCAGATCCCTAATGCGATTCCGATCACATCGTATTAGAGCACGACGAAAAAGACGTATAACCCGAACCGATCCAAATACAATAATCAGACCCACAGAGGAAAGGATAGCTGATGACGTTAGTATACTAAGGTAGTTGAGCAAGGCCATGCGGCAGCGCCTCTAGACCCTTGCTCTAACCAAGGGTTTAGATTTAGTCAGAGCGCAACGACGGACTATCGACTAGCGGACAAAGGGTCCAGCCAAAACATTAAAGGTATGAAAGAACATTTGTTGAGCCAGGAGATGGACTTCTTCGCGGGGTTGGGAGGAGAGAGGGTACACCGAGGTGGACGATTCGCTAAGGATACCACATGCGAAAAGTTGGAATCTGTGGGGTGCTTGTGGCTATAGAGCCCCACGTAGTCCAGAAAATTGAGTAGATTACGACTCCGGTTGTCTCAGGAGTCTTCGACTCCTGAGACTAAGCACTGCTGCGCGACCAATGGTCCTCAAATACTTCGTGCTTTTTGGAACCCTCTACGCCTTGACGAAGATGATACCACTTTCATCCCTCAATATGGCGCGATAAGGAAGTTATAGCGATTTCCACAAGGCTCGCTAGGCACCTGACAACCGGGTAGGTGACGAGTCGCCCCGGTCCGAGCTGCTTCCGTCCCCTTTAAAGTATCCTATTTCGGAGATAGGGAACGCAAATTGCGGCTTGCCGATAGCGATTTCTGGCAAGCCAAGCACACTGTCCAGCGACGCCACTACTGACCAATGGACTAGTGTTCAGGGTGTTCGCGAGGTTTTTTTTCGATTTTTTTCCACTGGGGGGTTACAAATGGGCCACTGCTTCGTGACTGAGCACCAATTACCCGAACACTTGATCGCGGGAATTGTCTTTAAGCCTTGCTTTGGGAAAGAAACCCTCTGGCGCTGCCTCCCGGCCTCGCTCAACTTCTTATTTACCAACCATAATTCGTTTCTACATCAACAGCGTTTTTAAGCACGTCATCCAGCTTACTCCATTAAAATCTCCAATTTCAATTGATTCCATGCAACGGTTAACGCGAAACGGAGACCAAGTTAACTTCAGACAAGTCAGTTCAGCATTGCAGCCACCTCGACCTTATCCTTACAAGGAACTCAACTTGAATTCAGGTGCTGCGCATCTATGGATCAGGGGTGGTTGAAGAGCCTTACGCTTATTTACCAAGGCGGACATCAGTGTTGAGTACGCGCGGTATGGTAACGGTGAAATATGGCACGAATATGATCGAAATCGCTACGCAAAATACCGATGTTCAGGTATACTAGATTTTACATGAAACAGTTTCCCGTCAACCTGAGAGTTTCCTGTTAGCATATTCTACGGTCGCCTAGATGCTTTGAAAAGGACCACTGTTGATCTGAGCGTTGTAGAGGCTAGAGTCAAACGATAGGGGGGGGGGGGGTAAAAAGGGGGACGAGCGGTACCATATCCAAAGGCTGTACTATTTATTGATTCTTCATCACTAAAAATGGAAAAATGAAATGATGAAGGTGGAAAGCGATCGCGAGGGCGGAGACTGTGTGCCGTGACATGGCTGTAGCGCTCTTATCGAGCACCCGAGCCGCGAGTATGGTAAGTCTTTCCGTCATCGGAAATCGCGCGCTCCTGTGCCAGGAGCGGTTCCTGGTAAGCTCGTTCATACTTCACACAGCGGTTCTCTTGCGGACAATAGCGTGCGCCCACTATCTGAGCGTCCCGACAGAATATCGATCAGCATCTGCCAGCTGTCTCAGCGGCTATAAGCGTTGCACAAGCGCCTTCGAGGGCCTAGGGCAGTATAGAGTATCGATTCTTTACGTCTACCAGCGTCTGTCAAGAGTGCATCAGCGTCTGAGAGAGAAAGCGATATAGCGCGATTTAGAAGCTGTAAGAAGACAGCCGGTTAGAGTGCTGCGATACGTGAGGGTAGCAGATGCTGGTAGGAGTATGGCCGCGATAGGAGCGTACCAGCTGTCTATTTACTCCTTCATATCGCCGCCATAGTGGTTCCCTTCCGTGCGTTGTGCCACCGATGGACGCATTAGATCGATATCTTAACGTTCCCTTAGTAGCCGATGCTCTGAACGCCGAATGTGGACGTACCTGCGTCGCTAGTGCACGTTGACGTAAGTATGAACGCAGGCTTTCTCAAAAATCTATTCTTGCAGGGAAGCCTCGTCTAGTCTTATATATCCACCAATCACTCATTTCATTTCAGCCAAGCAAACGTGGCCGCGTCGGCAGCTGGATATTTACGCATTCACGGAAAGTGCACAGAGCACCTATAGTGTTCGGTAAAACGAAGCTTCCGAGTGGTAAGCCCCCCTCTTTGCAATGCCTTCATAAAGAATGTTCTCAGTTGGCGAAAACTTCAGAGAAAGGCCCGGCGCCATTTTGTCTGTCTATAGCGGCACCCTTTTGGGTGAGCTATCACCAAGAACAATACGCATCATCACAAAGTGGTGAACGTATTCGTGAAAGTATCGAAATTCGTCAATGCAAGAGTAGTGGTATGCCGTACTATGTAAGTCAAAAGCTAGGAGAAAACCACACCGAGAACGGGTAGTATTCATGGCGTATCCCTATTCAGGAAATGAAACCACTCGATCCGGAGCAACATCGTCTCTTTAGTGAGCATGTCTATCTGGGAAAAGGTGTCATTCGCATCGATCGAAGTTCTTACATTCCCACCGAACAGAAGGTAAGCTTGCACTCATACCAGCACGATCCCTGCAAACGATAGGGCGTGTGACAGGGAGTGGCTCAGTAGGCTCAGAATGGCAGCCTACTGAGCCACTCCCTGTCACACGCCCTATCGTTGGAGGCTCATGATAGAATTAACAACCTCGGGAGGGGCTGAACCTCTGAGCTTTGTTATCACCTGTCATGCACCCTGTAAACTCCTGCCAAAGTTTCAAAATAACTGCGCAAAATCCAGAAGAAAAATGAAGAATCGTGTACTGATGATGCTGAAACCTCTTTGCCGAGCCTGACAGGAGTTGCAGGGTGCTTGAGTGCAATTTACGGGAGCTGCAGGTTGAGAGACGATTGTGAAAAGGCAAACGAAAGGAAAGTGAAAGCTCGAGATGTAGCCACATGGTCATCAGCGCCCTCAAAATCGATTTTGACAACTTTCATCCTTTGATCATTTCTCAGTTGGTAATTACTTTGCAGCTAACTGCTTTCTTCGCCACATGCATCAATACCACCAAAACACGCCAGTATAGAATTCCGCTCCCATGGAGGGGTACTGGAGTCAGTCACTCCAAGTACGTTTTACCTTGTTGGGCAACCAGCCTCGTAGCGTGGGTCTATTAGCGCTTTACACATGTTCTTATGGCGCGGAAACT